GCCATTTCCACCTGTTATTCTATCAACATGATGAGCCTGCCAAGAGGTTGGGCAGAGATGATTCTTGGAAATCTTCATTTCCCAGTGAAGGAACATGAGAATCAGAGCAATGAAATGTGTCTACACAAAGTTGGACAGCTAGGAAGTGCTGAAGCTGGCGTGAGGACCCCCATCTCCGGACAGCTCGCCCAGCAGTGTGCTCCTTACAGTGGGGATCTTGGCCAGCAGCCCACCTCACAGTCACCTGGGGGAATGTAGGTGCCCAGGCCCTGCCCTCCACGGAACTACTGAACTGGAATCTCCAGGGGGTGGGGCTGTGTTGGCAGCAGCTGCCACAAAAATAACCAACCGATCTGGATTCCTGCTTCAGGGTTCAGAGGTGAGGCATGAAGAGAAATGAAATTTCAAATGAAGACTCAGACGTGTCTAGGTCTGATTCCCTCTGCTGTTCTTTTAGTCAGTTCCCAAAACACCACCTCAGTGTAATGTTTTAGCTCAAAGCCACACCTTTCAGGTCCAAGGGAACTGCTGAAGGAAAGGAGATATTTTGCTCCGAATTCCAGTTTTTCATGGCTTTTTAGTAAGTAAGTTTTTATAAGAATGTTCCCCAGGGAATTCCCTGGTGGTCCAGTGGTTAGCACTAGTGCTTTCACTCGGGGTGGGGGTGAAGGCTGTGTTCAAACCCTAGTCGGGGAACTAAGATCCCACAAGCCACACAACCAGGAAAAAAAAAAAAAAAGATATTGTACAAAATAAAGTACTTTGGAAAAAAAAAAAAGAATGTTCCCAAGAGTGAATGAATGCTAAGTTCAGATCCTGTGTTAATTATGTTACTACAGGTTCTCGTTCGCATATTTATTTTTAGACTGAAGGAAATCAAGGGAAGGCATGATACTACACAAGTATTGTGATAATTAAGTAGTCAATACCTGAATGTACAGATGCACTGCTGCTGACCTCAACTATAGATAATTATGAACATCTGTTAGCACCTCCTCAGGCCAGCACTGCGCTTAGCATTTTGCCCGTGTGATCTAAATGACTCCTCAGAGCAGCTCTGTGAGGCAGGTTGTGGGCTAGTAGAAAATGTAGCCTGTGGATCATAAACGCTGTCTCAGAGAGTTTGTGTAATGGTTAACGAATTGACTCCACCCAGCATGGCCCTTGTGTCAGGGTCCGCAGGACTACTGCCAGGTTCATCGGTTCACTGAGAGGACTCTCAGGATTTGGCCAATAGTTGTTCTCTCAGCTGTGATTAACTGCAGCAAAAGCAGCATCAGCAGAGGGAAGAAGTGTGTGGACAAAATCCATCGGACACCAGACACAGGCTTCCAGGAGCTTCCTCTCCCCGTGGAGGCACATGGGATGCACGGAATTCCAGCAGCATCACATTGGCCAACACGTGGATTGTTGCCAACTAGGGTCTGAAAGGTTGTTGCTGAGCCGTGAAAGACGCCGGGATTCTTGGCCTCCAAGGGAGAGGAATTCAATCCGGGGCCACTGACGAGGCTCTATCACTCAGAGCTTTTGTGTAGTAAAGGTTTATTAAAGTATAAAAGAGATAGAGAAAGTTTCTGACATAGATATCAGAAGGGGGCAGAAAGGGTGCCCCTCTGCTAGCCTTTAGCAGTATGTTATGTACCTATCAGCAAGCTGTTAATTAGAGAAAGGAAATGTCTCAAAACTTAGAGTGGCACCAGGCCCCTCACCCACAACATGCATTTTGCGATAACACTGGCACAAGGTGAGTCATCCCGGGCCATAAAACAATTGACATGAGTCTTGAAGAAAGGCAGATTTCCAGGTAAATATATAGTTTCATTAACATAGATTAGGAGAACAATGGCATACTGGTTTGTTGAACCCTTTTGGGTTCTGAGTCTTAAGCAGGAACCGAGCTGAAGAAAGACAGTCTAGGGTAAATATACAGTTCATTAACATAGCTTAAGAAAAACATTTCCATAAGAAAAATGCATTTGTTAGCTCAAGGTTTGAGAAAAGTTAAGTTCAGGTGGAACCAGGTGTGGTCATGGCAACACAGACTTTTAATAGAAACCTTTTAATTTTGTATAGAGAAGGGGAAAAAATCTGACACTTGTAGTTTGTTTCCTCCTGCCGCTTAAGAGAGAGATAAAAAAAATGTCTGACACTTGCTGCCTATTTCCTCCATTTGGAGACCTGTGGCATTCCTGCCTGTTACCCTTTCAAGTCCTCACTAGTGATTCAATTTCTGAGGTTTCTGCTGGGGGCTGGTCATGCAGGCACCATCTGTGTGTGTGTGTGTGTGTGTGTGTGTGTGTGTGTGTGTGAAGTTGCTTGAGTCATGTCCGACTCTTTGTTGTGTGTGTGTGTGTGTGTGTGTGTGTGTGTGTGTGAAATTGCTTGAGTCGTGTCCGACTCTTTGTGACCCCGTGAACGATAGCCCACCAGGCTCCTCTGTCCATGGGATACTCTAAGCAAGAATACTGGAGTGGGTAGCCATTTTCTCCTCCAGGGAATCTTTCCAACACAGGGATCAAAACTGCATTTTTTATGTTTCCTGTACTGGCAGTGGGTTTTTTGCCACTAGCACCACCTGGGAAGCCCACCATCTGTGTAACATGTACCAGAATTCCAGAATCAGATGGAAAGCAGGTGTTCAGCATGAACCACATGGTTTGCACAAACAGATGAGGTACAGTGAGTCAGCCTGGGGGAGTGGTGGGAACCTTCTAAAAATCCAGGTTCCCAGATGCCAGCCTTCGAAGCATGCTTTTCTAAGGAGGGCAGCCACAGGTCTGCTTTGTTCACTATTTTCTGCACAGCACTCAAGGTATTTTGGTTTTTCTTTTAACTTATTTATTTTTGGCTGTGCTGGGTCTTCATAGCCATGAGCGCTTTTCTCTAGTTGCGGCAAGTAGGGGCTGCTCTCTAGTGGCAGTGTGCAGGCTTCTTGCTGTGGGCCTTCCCTGCCGGCTCAGATGGTGAAGAATCCGCCTGCAATGTAGGAGACCCAGGTTCGATCCCTGGGTCAGGAAGATCCTCTGGAGAAGAAATGGTAACCCACTCCAGTATTGTTGCGTGGAGAAGCCATGAACAGAAGGGCCTGGTGGGCTATAGTCTGTGGAGTAGGACACCAGTGAGTGACTAAGCACACACACTCTTGTGGAGTGTGGGCTCTGGGCACACAGGCTTCAGTAGTTGAGGCTCCCAGGCTCTAGAGTGCAGCCTTAGTATTTGTGGTGCTCAGGCTTAGTTGCTATGTAGCATGTGGGATCTTCCCAGGTCAGGGATGGAACCCATGTCCCCTGCATTGGCTGGTAGATTCTTTTACCACTAAGCCTTCGGGGAAGCCCCAGCACTCAATGTTTATTTCCTTTTTGGTTTCGAGAGAAGAGAGAGCTGAGTCTCAGGGAGTTTCGGTGGCCTTCCTGAGGACACACAGCTCACAGGTGGCCAGGCCAAGATCTGGAATCCAGGTGTCATGGAAGACCCTGAGAAAGATCCTTGTGGAACCAGATGACCCTCTACAGTTCAATGTGTCCACCAGAACTTTCTGCAGTGAAGGAAATATTCTGTCTGCACTGTCCAGTGTAGCAGCTCCTAAACACGTGTGGCTGTTGAGCACTTGAAATATGGCTACTTTGACTAAGGAGTTGAATTTTTAATTTTACTTAATTTTCAATTAATTAACATTTCAGGAGCTTCATGTGGCTATTTGCTGTTGTACTGGACAGCACAGTTCTACATCATAATGTAACAGATTTTCTTTTGGGGGGTAGCAGATGGAATATGTAGATTTTGGTTCTTGTTCTAAACTAAGGAACACACTGGTCTATGTGTTGCTCTCAGCCAACGTCCTTGTGTGGGTACTGTGGCGGAAACTAACATGTAATATTTGCAGATCCTCTGGGAAAAGCCCCTTTTCACTTGGTTGGGTTTTTGTTGTTAAAGAATAGGAAAGGGGCTTCCCTGGTGGCTCAGTGGTAAAGAATCCGCCGGCCAGTGCAAGAGATGCAGGTTCGATCCCTGGTCCAGGAAGATCCTGTATGCTGTGCACCACAACTATAAGGCTGTGCTCTAGAGCCGGGGAGCTGTAACAGCTGAGCCCATGTGCTGCAACTACTGAAGCCCACGTGCCTAGAGCTTCATGCTCTTCAATAAGAGAAGCCACTGCAATGAGAAGCCCATGCACTGCAACTAGAGAGTAGCCCCCACATGCTCTAACTAGAGAAAAGCCCACACAGCAATGAAGACCCAGCATAGCCAAAAACAAAATAAATAAAATTATTTTTTTTAATCTTTTATAAAAAATAGGAAGTGGCCACTCTAAAACTACAGCATTCATGTGAACCCCACGGGGAATTCTGAGGCCCTTTTTGGTGAAGCACCCTGGTGGACCCCGGCTGCCCCTCTCAGGAGTGTGACCTGCACAGCCCATTCTCAGGCCTCTGTGTTACCAAGAGTCGGGGTGGACCCCAAGTCAAGGCTGACTCTCTGCCTACTTGTACTTTCTCTGTCAGCTTTTGGGTGAAGAGCTTATGAGCAGTGACATAACCGGAAGCCTACAGAAGGGAGAAGAGATTTTAAGAACCTACTGAATTGGTTAGATAACTGCACCTCACCCATCCTGTGCCCATCCAACCCCAGGGGGTGATGTGGTCCACAGGCAGCACACAGGATGGGTCTGATGAAGGCCAAGGAGAGCTGGGGGGTAGGATGCTGAAGAGGCTGAGAACTAGCACAGAGGTTTGTGCACCAGCTTTGGAGTGCATTGACCTCAGTAGGAATCCTGGTTCTGTGCCTTAGGAAAGTTACTTAAGGTCATTAGGCTTCAGTTTCCTTATCTGTAAAATGGGAATATTGTGGTGAAAATTAAGTGTAAGCATCAATAATGCCGGCTGCTTGCCTCTGGCTGTGATTGTTGTCATCTCCCGAGGGCCAGTCTAGATTATGGGCGACGGGAAGCACAGAAGGTGAGAGCCTGGATTGCCACTGACCTGGTACCCCATCCATTCTAGCAATTCCCCTTCTGTTTGATGTCTGTGAATATCACGCGTATCGCCATCCAGGCCTTAAGGGAGGAGTGTCTCTCCAGGTGAGTCCTCACGCTGCTCACTGCCCTAGCTGTCAGAGCCTGGTTCCCTCACCCCACCACCTCATCCCCCACCCAGCTCTCTTCCAAACCTTCTGGCTCCAGGGGACCTGGACAGACTACCCCTGCACCAGCCTCCCAACCCCTCCCTCCTCCTCACCCTGACCTCAGATGTGAAGGCTGCCCTGGGAAGGGTCCCTTGGGGGACAGGGTGTAGGCACCCCCAGGTGTCTGTCCACTGCTGAGCAGGTACCCATCCTCGTCCTGCAGGGAATGTAACCGGCAGCAGAAAGTGATACCCGTGGTGAACAGCTTCTATGCCGCCACCTTCCTCCGCCTGGCGCACGTCTGGAGGACACAGCACAAGACCATCTCAGACTCAGGCTTTGTCCTCAAGGGTGCGCTCGCTCTTCTGGGGGTGCCTAGCTCCTGCACTCCTAGAGTCCCTGGGTTCAGGGACCCCAGGGTGGTTGCTCAACTGGTTTTGGCCGGCTTCCCTTCCCCCCACCCCCCATTCATACCCTCTCAAGTTTCAGCTTCCCCAAGTCTCCATCACCCCACCCTTGGGAGCCTGCCGCTCTCCTCCCTTTCTGGCCAAACAACTCTGGTGACCATATTTTCTCAATCAAAAGCTGGGCCCAAGTTTTGGCTCAGTTAGACTGACTATTCAAAATTGAGATTGTCCCGGACCGGGCAGAGTGTGTAGCCCCTGTGCGTGAGTCTGGTGTCTTGGATCTCTGGTGAGCTGTCCATCTTAGAAGATTCCTTCCCCCTTCTCTCCAGAGCCTCTGGGTGGTGCATCCAGGAGCCTCCTCCCCCAGCCTTCTGTTCCCCAATCCTCTCTGTTCCAGATTTGGAGGCGTCGGCCAAGAAGAGCCCCAAACGGCTGCTCAAAACCCTGGAGATCTACTTGGCTGGAGTGTCAAAGGGACAGGCCTCCCTGTTGGGGACACAGAAGTGCTCTGGGCCACAGGCCCCTCACTCCAAGGATCTCACTTTCACAGGCGTGTGTGACCTGTCATCACACTCGTCCGAAGGGACGTGGCTGATCTGACCAACCCCGGTGGCCCCGGGCGAGGAAGCCTTGGAGGGGCTTTCAGAGGGCGGATCCTGGCTGGGCCTCGCGCCTTCCGGTCCTAGCGCCCTGGGCCTGGTGGGTGGAGCCAGGGGCCCTCACCTGCTGGAGACATCAGGGGCCATTAGATTAGACTCACTCTCTGGAGCCCTGCTTTCAGGGCGAGGAGAGCTTTGCTTTATTACTAGTTGGGCGACAGCTTCCATAGTCGGATTCCAGGTAGTATCAGTGATAGCGAATGGATCATCAGGTGGGAGACCCCATATGCACGTTCCACACAGTTCTCCATCAAAGATGCTCCCAAGTAAAAGCGCTAGAACCTGGCAGTGGGTCTTTCAGGCCCTGGAGTCCACAGGACAGGGACCAGACGGGGACTGAGTAGTTAGAATGTGAAGGGAGAGGGTAGTCGCAGCAGCAGCCAACAGGGGGCAGTGTGAGCTAAGAGTGCATGCCTTTTCTGGTCTGGCCCTCACCCCACCCTCATCTCTCCCCATCCCTCCTCCCACTGTTTGAGATAGGGAACCAGGCTGCAGCTGGGCTTCCCTCTTGGAGGCTGCACATGTCCCATCAGGGCTGGTTTTCTGGCCTGGTTGAAGGAAGGAGGAAATTCACACACCAGCAGTTTTTGAATAAAATAATTCTTCTAGGTTTAGGATCTCAAGGGTTTTCCTTCCAGACACATTTTGCACCATCCTGTGGCCGTTATCCCAGGGTCCCCCGTTAGAGCCAGGCACTCTGGCCAGCTGACAGCCTGGTTGTTGTCGGCACTGGTCACAGGCCCCAGGAGAGAAGGCTACTGTGCCCTGGCCACACTCCTGCCTAGTTCACAGGCCATCCAGCCTCATCCGGCTGCACTTACAGACCCAGAGACCCTGCACACTGTAACCACTGGTCGAGGTGGCCCTGGCTGTTCTTAAGGGTGGCTGTTATGAGGCATCCACACAGGGTTTTTCCCACATTTGCTTCTGGGGAAGCTACCTGTCACTTTTCACTTGCAAAAGGGCCTCCAGGGCTTTGGAGCTAGGGAACAGGGGCCAGGCGAGAGCCCCACCTGGCTTCTCTCCTATCCTCTGACCTCCCTCAAGTAGAGTCATGGAAGATAGCTGTCCAGCCCCCGCGGGCATCTCCAAGTCTGACCGGGTACAGGGGGACCCATCACAAAGGTGAAGACGACAGACAGCCACCCAAGCATGGAAGGAACCCATCAGCAGGATGCCTCAAGGGTAGGGCTGGTAACAGATCTGCTGTTTGCTGTTTGTCTTTGCCTGACCTGAACTAATCCTGTGCCCTCCTCCTTCGTCCTGACCAGCAGAGATGGCAGCAGAGAGATTACTGGGCCTGGTGGGCTTAGAATGTAACCCTCCCCCCACCCAATCCCAACTTTGGAGTGTCAAGTTTAGTGATTCCTGCAGATTCCATTCCCTTGCTCTGAGACCTGGAGGCCACCTCAACAGACTTTGACCATTAGTGCTCAGCCCCTCTGGCATGGCAGGGACCAGCCCAAGAGAGCCTTTGGCTGGAGGGGAGGCCAGTGGCCCCTGCAGAAGCCTATTCTGTGTTACTGCCAGTGGGATGCTCTCAGTTTAGGACTTTTAGGACCTGGAGACATTAGGAATAACTGTCCAGGGATTAAGCTGCGATTCTGCAGATGGACAGAATTCTGTGGTTGTGGAGGGATGCCTAAACCCTCTGAACATAAATAACAAAAATCTTAAATCTGTGCATTTTTCTTGGGAAAAACCTTTCAAGGCTTTTCATGAGAGACCCAAAATGCTTTACAATGCTAAATATTTCAGTTTCTAGGGGAAACATCCCTCTTTCCCCTTTGAAAATTCACCCCTGACACGTGCTCTTTGCATCGGCTATCGAGGGATGGCCGGGATGTCTCTGTGTGGAGAGAAAGTTGGAGAACAAGGGGGATATGCAAAGAGCTGATTTTTCTGTGCTTCTCAGCACAAAACCACTGAGATGAAATTGATCAGAATTTCTGTTTGGAATAGGCTTCCCTGGTGGCTCAGATGGTAAAGAATCTTCCTGCAATACAGGAGTCCCGGGCTGGATCCCTGGGTCAAGAAGATTCCCTGGAGAAGGAAATGGCAACCCACTCCAGTATTCTAGCTTGGAGAATTCTATGGGCAGAGGAACCTGGTGGACTGCAGTCCATGGGGTCCCAAAGAGTCGGACACGACTGAGTGACTAACAGTACACTACTACCACTCTTTTTCAGATGGAAGATCCAGTATGTCAGGGCTTTAAAGTCATACAGTTCTGAGGGCCTGGAGTGACCGTGGGTCAGGATGGCTGCAGCCCTGCCAAGTCTCTAGGACTCTGGTTTGTCCAGTCCAGGCTTACCCAGCTCCCACCTTGTTCCTGCCCCCAGGTCACACCCCAGGGTGGGACTTTTGGGGTTTCTCCATTCTCCCTCTGTTTAGCTCCCTAGTTTCTCTGCTATTCCAGTCACAACCCCAGTACACAAGAGGATGAACTAGGGAAACTTCCCTGGTAGTCTAGTGGTTAAGACTGCAGACTTCCGTTGCAAGGGGTGGGTGTGGGTTCGATCCCTGGTCAGAGAACTGAGATTCCACATGCTGTGCAGCATGGCCAAAAAAACAAAAAAAACTAGGACCTGGATGAGGAAAAGCAACTTGCCCAGGCTCAAAGAGAGGCAGGTGAGAACCTGAACCCACAACCCTCCTCAACATTAGGCTGGTGCTTTTCCCATGACCCCACGTGGCCCTGAGCCCATGCCGTGTACTGAGGACATAACGAACTGACCTCCTGCATGGATGTGAAGAGCTATGCTCTTGCTTGGTGAACATACATCATTTGGAAGCTGCCTGGCAACGGTTCACTGGAGCACCTGAGGAAATTCCAGCTTGGATGAAGGCACATGCCTGCTGCACAACCTGCCCCCAGTCGGGAATGTGAGACTGAACTGAACCTTAGGCTGAAAGTGATCCCAGCCCTGGCCCCATGCCACCTCCCTACTGGGTTTGCAGTAGTGCCAACCAGGCCCACTGGGAGCGCCTGGCCCCTTCAGGAGCTGGCCCCTCTGCAAAGCCATCTCTGGCCTCTCACAGGCTGTGGAATTGTCACCAGGTGGCGCTAGTGGTAAAGAACCTGCCTGCCAATGCAGGAGACAACAGGAGATGCAGGTTCAATTCCTAGGTTGGTAAGATCTGGGGGAGGAAGTGACAACCCACTTCAGTATTCTTGCCTGGAGAGTCCCATGGACAGAGAAGCCTCGCTGGCTACAATCCATAGGGGTCACAGTGTCACACACGACTGAAGTGACTTAGCACACATAGGACGCCTCTACTCTGCCCAGCACGGGGAGGAGCTGGGTGACTAGTGAGGCAGGGAGTATTAGCCCAGGGCAGGCAATGCAGGCAAAGAGCGAGAAAAGTACTGGTCTCCTTTATTGACCATGGGCAGGGGCACCTCAGCACTGACCAGGAGGCCAGAGGAGGAGCGGGTGAGTAGGAGGTGGGGCAGGGAGACACCCACCCTCATTTCCAGTCCTTGAAGAATTGCTTGAAGATGGCACTCTCGCGGCCCTGGGGCAGAATCTCCACCTGTAGGGATGGCAGGGGAGTCTGGCTCACAAGGCTGCCACCTCTGCCTCTTCCAGAGCCAGGGAGGAGGGTGCTGGGCACGAGGCCTTCCAGCCAGTGATGCTCTTCCAGATAAGCCAAGAGACAAGAAAGATTACAGGGACTGAGAAAACAGTGAGAAGGGGCAGAACGAGCTAGAAACCATGGCCCAGAGGAGCCACATGAGTCATCCAGAGGCACACTCGGCTAGCAGGACTCCCAGGGGAGCGCTGCCCATCATCCTCTTAGAAAAGGACATGCATTGTGGAATATTACTCAGTCATGAAGGGGAACACATTTGAATCAGTGCTAGTGAGGTGGATGAACCTAGAGCCTGTTATACAGGGTGAAGTCAGTCAGAGAAAAACAAATGTAGTATAATAACACATACATATGGAATCTAGAAAAATGATATTGATGAATCTATTTATAGAGCAGGAACAGAGATGCAGACAGAACAGACTTGTGGACACAGCAGGGATAGGAGAGGCTGGGACAAGTTGAGAGGGCAGCATTGACATATATATACTACCACGTGTAAAAATAGCTAGTGGGAAGTTACTGTGTAACACAGGGAGTTCAGCCTGGGGCTCTGTGACAACCTAGAGGGGTAGGATGGAGTGTGGGGGGAGTGGGGTGGGAGGGAGATTCAAGAGAGTGGGGACATATGTATTCTTAGGGCTGATTCACATTGCCGAATGGCAGAAACCAACACAACACTGTAAAACAATTATCCTCCAATTAAAAACAAATTAAAAAAATTTTTTTAAGTGCATTCACAAGTTAAAAAAAAAGAAAGAAAGGAAATAACATGTACTGTAAAACTCTGAAGGACTGGGAAGGGCCTTCCCACTGGGTGGTTCTGGGAGGAGAGGTCTGACTGCTCATGACTGTGCCCTGGGCTTTCTCACTCTTCTTGTCCAGTCCAAGGGGCAGGGGGCCAGGGAAGAGTCTTAGGAAGAGGGTGCGCTGGCCCAGGGAGGGCTCCTCACCTGAGTGTTTGGGGCGTACTGCATGCGGGCGATAAAGTCCTCAGCCACTTGGAGGGCCGCCTGCCGCTCCTTCTCATTAGCTTTGCGCCCTGGATCATAAGGAGGAGAAATTTTAAAAGAGCAGGACCCTCTCGAGCCCACATCCCATTTGTCTCGAGATTTAAGGAGGTCCAAATTCCACGGACAGAGGAGCCCGGTGGGCTACACAGTCCATGGGGTCACAAAGAGTTAGGCATAACTGAGCAACAGAGCACACACGCCCACAAAACAGCTGGCACTTTAAAAATAAATGGACCAGGAGGCGCTAAGAACACCCTGAGGGGGCTCAGTAAGAAGTCAGCCTCTCCCAACTCACAGCTCCAGCTGAAAACTGCCCTCTGCCCGCTCCAATCATCAGAGTCTTCGCTCAGGCCAGGACCCCACGGATATTCAGGGAGAGCTAATGTCGCCCTCGAATGAGACACTCAGGCCCCTCTCTCCCTCTCCAGGGCCCCTCGCCTTTTGAGTCTGTCAACTGTACTGTTATCAAGCCTTTCTTGCAAAAGTAAATTGGACAGAAAAAAGGGCATGATTTACTGCAATCTTACTCCTACAAAGCTAGATGCCAACATCAGCCTAATGGTTATACCAACTAAGAGTCAGTAAAAAGGAACAGCAGTGCCCTCCCTTCTCACCTTTAACCAAACCCTGCTCCACCTGGAGGCATTTTTCCAAGGAAACAATGTTGTTAACTGTGGTTGGCTCTTCAGCTAGTCTATTAAAACTCTAGTTAGCCACAGTATATCTGAGATTAATGCACTGTATCCTTCCTCTGTGATTGCCTGATGCTTCTCTTCCCAGCTCCCAAGTTTCCTGTTTCTCCCACTGGTTTCTCCATTCTTCACTTGGGGCTAAAGACACTTCTAAACCAGAGCAAACCGGTTAATCCTAAAGGAAATCAACCCTGAATATTCTTTGGAAAGACTGATGCTGGAGCTGAAGCTCCAATATTTGGCCATCTGATGCAAAGAGATGATTCATTGGAAAAGACGCTGATGCTGGAAAAGAATATGGGCAGGAAGAGGATGAGATGGTTGGATGGCATCACTGACTCAATGGACATGAGTTTGAGCAAACTCCTGGAGATGGTGAAAGACAGGGAAGCCTGGCGTGCAAAGACAGCCCCAGCAGCACAATCCTACCCCCTGCCTCCACCACCATCCTTCTCAACTCTTAGAAACCTGCTCTGTGCCTTGCCACTCCTGGTCCTTCCCTGAGGCAAGAGTGTGATGCCTAGTAGCTGCCAAGTTACAACACCTAACACTTCTCCATCATCCTGGCTGGAAATTTCTCCTGGCCCTGGTTCATGTCACAAATATTTACTGAGCAAATGCTATCTCGTCAAGGCACTAGAGAGAATGTGATTCCTTTCAAGAGGTTTATAATCTGGGCAGTCGAGACACATTCAAGAACAAGAAGACACAGAACTTCCCTGGTGTTACAGTGGATAAGAATCCACCTGCCAATGCAGGGGACACAGGTTTGATCCCTGCTCTGGGAAGATTCCATATGCCTCCGAGCAACTAAGCCCATGAGCCACAACCGCAAGCTGCAACTACTGAAGCCTATCCACCTAAAGCCTGTGCTCCACAACAAGAGAAGCCACCACAATGAGAAACCCAAGCATCACAACGAAGAGCAGGCCCCTGCTACTGCAACTAGAGGAAGCCTGCATGCAGCAACAAAGACCCAGCATAGTGGGGGGGGGGGGGGGGACAAGAAAAGACAAGCACAGAGAATTACTCACAGACTCAGAGCTTTGTTACAATATTTTCAGAGTCTGATCTAGCAAACAGGCTTCTGCCCAAGGGTGTTTCATTTCCAGCCAATACAACCTCTTAGAAAAACAAGCCCTACCAGTTTGCTACCCAGTACATAAGGTGAGATTTCATATCTAGAATTGGTCACAGTCAAGGCAGACAGGCAGAAGCCGGGGTGCCAGTGGCACTGAAGACCTTGGAGAGCTCTGTGGCAAGTGGTCCTCAACACAAAGTCAGCAGCAAGACCTGGGAACCCGATAGATGGTTCCCAGAGCCTGCAAAGTCTCATGCGTGCTAAGTCACTTCAGTCATGTCCAACTCTCCGCAATCCCATGGACTGTAGACCACCAGGCTCCTCTGTCCATAGAATTCTCCAGACAAGAGTACTGGAGTGGGTTACCCTGCCCTCCTCCAGGGGATCTTCCCTGCCCAGGGACTGAAGCTGTGTCTCTTATGTCTCCAGCATTGCCAGGTGAGTTCTTTATCACTAGCACCACCTGGGAAGCCCAGACCTCGAGAATCAGAGTCTCAGGGGTGCGATTCGCCCTGGCTCTTAACAGGGCCCTCAGGTGATTCAGAGGTGGGCTGAAGGTGCAGATCCCTTGCCAGGAATTAACCGCCAGCCATGGAGGCTCACTGAGCCAGGTGCCTATGGGCTGGCTGAGCCCTCCCGTGGGAAGCCTTCCTGGTTAGAGAGGCCACAGGGGCCTCAGGCTGGTGTGGAGCAGCCACACGCACCCTTCCAGATGTAGATCTTGCCGCAGAGTCCATTGTCCAGCACAAAGCAGTCGTCGGGTATCAGCAGCTCGAGGGCGAAGGGGCTGGAATCAGCCAGCTTGGTCAGGTTCATCTGTCCAGTGGCGTCAGAGACCTGGGGGAGAGTGGGCAGTGCTGTGTCACCCTCCTTCCTGCAGTTCAAAGCTCTGACCTCCACCAAGGAGCAGCCCCCCTCCAGTAGATGTCCCACCCACCACCCCAGGCTGAACAGCACACCGGACAAAGGGGGAGAACTGACAGCTAATAGGCAAATCCCAGACAACCCCCACCCCCACTTCAGCCTCAGTCACCGCCTCCCAGAGTCCCTGAATCCGTGGCAATTAAGTAGACTCCAAATTAACAAGTAAATGCAAAGAATGCAAAAAAGGTACAGTTCAGGGACTTCCCTGGTGGCTCAGATGGTAAAGAATCTGCCTGCAATGGAGAAGACCGGGGTTCAATCCCTGGGTCGGGAAGATCCCCTGGAGACCGGAACGGCTACCCACTCCAGTGTTCTTTTTTTTTTTTTTCACTCCAGTGTTCTTGCCTGGAGAAATCCATGGACAGAGGAGCCTGGGGGGCTACAGTCCATGGGGTTGCAAAGAGTTGGACATAACTGAGCAACCTTCCAGTATATGCAATGCAGGGGATGCAGGTTCGACCCCTGGTTGGGGAACTAAGATCCCACATGCCATGGGACAACTAAGCTCAAATGCCACAACTAGAGAAGACTGTGGGCTGCAACTAGAGAAGCCTGTGCACCACAACCAAGACCCAATGCAGCCAAATAAATAATAAATAAATAGATATTTAAAAAAACCAGAACAGTGAAGTTTAGCATTGGCTTCTTTCAAACCTCCATATCTAAGAATGTGCTGGAAGGGAAGTGACATTCACCTCTCCAGGAGGGCCGAGCACCCACTTCCCGTCCTCCCCTCACTCCACGCCCTGACAAACCACCCTGGGGCCTGGCTCCACCTGCCCACTGCTTTCTCCTCTCCTCTCAGCCCCACAGGCACCAAGATCACACCCTTGCCTGGTCCCAGGGCAGGCCCGGGGCACCCACCTTATACAGAGCCGCAGCCTGTGCGTTTGTCCGGTCAGCTGTGAGGTCTTCCTCAGGGTTACCCTCCTTCAGAGAGGGCTTGGGACCCAAGACCTGCAGGGACGAGGGCAGGCCACGTTTCCAGGGATTCCTGGGCACCTATCATGCCCAGGACCACCCCCTCACTCCCACCCCCACACCCATGTCTGCACAAGGGGCTTTTGGCAGAGCTGGGGAGGGCTCAGTCCCTGGATACCAGTCCCTTCATCCCAAGGGGTACTTGACTCTGAGTCCCACCACGGCACCTGATGAGCCAGCCAAGCCCTAAGCAGGGCCCCAGATGCCCCTACAACCCTCCTGCTGTTATCACTGCCCCTCTCGGTGGCTTCAAGCGGAGGCCACCCTCCTGCTACCCCCACATCTCTCAACCTGGATCATGTCAGCAGGCTCCTCCCCATCGGTGACGATCTCCACGTGGGCCTTGCCCTGCCGCTCGCTGTCCCGGATGGCCAGAGCCAGGTCCTGTGCCTTGTTCCGCTCCAGGATGTTGGACTTCGCACCACACCAGGCAAAGATGTTCTAGAAGGAAGTGGGGAGGCTCAGATTAGAGCCACTTGCATCCTGTCCTCTGCAGAACTGAGGCAAGATGATCAAAGACAAGCAAGAAGGCAAGGGAAGCAAGGTCTCTGGGGACAGGAATGACGGTCTCTGAGACAGCATTTCTCTGCCCCACACCCCCATCTTCCACAGACTTTATTTTTTTCCATATCACTTGTGTCATATATTGAAACATCTTTATCTTATTAATAATCTATCTTCCCTGACTAGAAAGTAAGCCTCATTAGGGCATGAGGGGTTTTGTTCTGTTTGGCATGACTTGAGACCCACTGCTATATGCTCAGTGACAAACAGAAACAGGCACATCTTTAGGCCCAGAATACATATTTATGCATGAATGAACTGGTGAATGAGCGAATGAAAGGATGAATGAGTGAACAGGAGAATGGCAGCCCTGGGCCCAGAATCTCAGATGCCTCTGTGCACTCGCCAGGCATGGCCCTCATCAGCTCTACTGAGCAGATCCCCTGCCTCCATCTCACTGCTTCCAGTCCTCCTTCTAAACAGCATCCAGGTTCCTCTTCCTGTTCCAAATCTTTAGCACGACAGGTGCAGTCCAGACCCTCAAAGATTCAGTCTCCTCCAGCTCCTTAGCACTTTCCACTCCCACTGGTCCTGTCCCCACCCTGGGTCCAAGTCAGGCTGCATCCTTCCTGGCTGTCGACAGGCATGTCTGTGCCCTTCTCTTGCTCAGCGCCTCAGCTCACCCATCACCTTCCCCTGGAATGGCATTTCCCCTAGTCTAGTCAAATGGCACTTTCCTGGGGCAGTGGCTTGGCCTAGAAGGCCCCTCACTGCCATAAGCTCCCCCAGCCCATCCCACTGCTCCTAAGAGGACCCTCATCACATCCTGTCATGGGTTATAATACAGCCAGTGACAGGCCCCACCTTGGCTGCCTGCCCTGGGCCAAAAACTTGTGGTCCCCAAGTGGCGCTAGTGGTAAAGAACCTGCCTGCCGATGCAGGAGACATATGAGATGCAGGTTCAACCCTTGGGTCAGGAAGATCCCCTGGAGAAGGGCATGGCAACCCACGCCAGTATTCTTGCCTGGAGAATCCCGTGAACAGAGGAGGCTGGCGGGGTACATGGGGTCACAAAGAGTTGGACACGACTGAAGTGACTTAGCACGCACACATGCTGGTTCAGAGCAGGTGCCATAGATTCACCAAGGGAAGAGATAAATGAACTGATTAACACATGGGATGGAAGGCAGCTAGCTCAGAGCTTCAAAGGTTCCAGGAGCACTAGAGAGTCGACTCAGGGTTAGAGGCCAAGACTAGACAGCAGAGGGAGGTTTCTGTCCAAGCAAATACAGGGATGTCTTCTAACAGTCACAGTGACCCCACTTGGAATGGGCTTACAGCTTCTCAGCCCCTTTCCCTCTGCTATGGCTTCCCAGTCCCTGCCCTTTAAAACAGCACCAAGGAGTTCCTGGCGGTCCAGTGCTTAGGACTTGGCACTTTCACTGCTGTGGCCCCCATTTCAATCCCTGGTTGGGGAACTAAGATCCTACAAGCTGTGTGCACAGTGTGACTGGAAAAAAAAAAAAAAAAAAAAACAACAACTCAGTGACTTCCTGGGCAGTCCAATGGTTGAGACTCCGGGCTCCCAACACAGGGGGCCCCAGGTTCAATCCCTGGTCAGGGAACTAGATCCCTGATGCCACAACTAAGATCCAGCACAGGCATAAAAAAGAGAGACACACACAGTGCTAGCATGAGTCGGTGCTCAGTCAGCCTTGCCCACCTACCTGGCCCAGGTCCAGGATGAAGCAGTCCCCTGTGTTGAAACTGTCCCAGCTCAGCACCCGCTCGGTGGCACGAATGTTCTTCTTGCCCTTCACCTGGTAGAGTTTCTTGATGGCGGCCGGGGTGGTCCCTGGGGAGGTCTTGTGAAACGCCGACTCCACGCCGCCTTCCTGCAGCCCGGATGGTCAGCCTGAGTGGGCTCCCCGCCGTCCCCTCCTGCCAGCACCCCATGCCCCCTCCCACTGGGCAGGAAGGAAAGCAGGCAAGCAGGAAACGGGTGGGGGGAGGCCCCGGCCCTGAGTGGCCTTGGGCCTTTTGCAGGGTCACGACCAGCGGGAAGGGGAGCTCAGGGAGAACCCACAGGAGAGGGTGTGGGCAGTGGGTTCTGACCTGGTACTTGAGGCCACGGGGGAAGTAGCTCATGAAGAGGTCGGACTCATTGCCCTGTGACTCTCGGTGCTGCACGGGCCGCTCTCCAAGCAGGGTGTTGAGGTGCACGGCCAGCATGGCGCAGGCCCCCTGCTCGTCCCGGGAAGACTGCTGGCCTGGGGTGGGGGGAAGTTGCTGGTGAGATCTAGGCCAGACCTGACCCCTGCCCGGGCCAGCACCCCCCACCACCAGGCCTCCCAGCTCCCTCCCATACCGATCCACAGGTGCAGGTGGGACAGCTCTTCAGGGCCATTGTGCAGCACCAGATAGGAGTCTCCTGAGAAGAAAATGCCGTAGTTCTCAGGGGCCACCGGCACTGGCTTCAGCTTCTCCACCCTCCATATGTGCAGGCCAGGGAGCTTCACGGTCGGTGGGAACGGAGAGCCGCTGCGGGAGGGGAGTGGGTTGGTGAAGGCCGAGGCCCGTATGTATGCGGTGGAGACAAGCAGAGAGACCTGGGGCAGGCCTGGGGACTGCGGTGTGGGGGAGAGGAGGGGCCGCCCTTGGAAGTGAAGAGGAGAGGGGTGAAAGGGGAAGGGGTGCACAGCCTACCTCTGGGGGATGGGTGAGTACATGCTGTTTCTGGATCTGCAAAGACAGAATCAAAGCCATTATGATTATAAATGTCATGAGTACCCGCCTTCACGTTGGTCTGGGGAGGTCCTTCCGGGAGGCCAAGTGCTTCACTATTCATCAACTAATTCATCTCCAAGAGCAGATTTCTTTGCCTGGCTCCATTGTTCAGGCAAAGAAACTGAGGCTCAGAGAGTCTAAATCCCAAGTGACACAGTGACTAGTGAGTGGCTAGTGAAAGCCAGGTCTTGGGCTCCCTGGGCCAGGGTCTTCCCCTTGCTGTGACCTCTGCTGCTTCTAGACAGGAGTCCTAGTTCTGGGCATTGCATGAGGCTGGGATATGCCTCTTTAAGCAATAACGGCTTATATTTGAAAAGCCTAAAATCAATAACTTAAAATCAATGGATGGGAAATCAAAAAAATAGAGAAAATCGATGAAGCTGGGTTTTGGAAACCTCGAAAAAAATTGATGACCCTTTTGACAAATTGATTAAGTAAAAGAAAAGACACAAATTTCCAATACAGAAACAAGAGAGATGACCACCATTACAGATTCTACAAGTATTAAAAGGATAAACAGAATGTCACAAAAACTTTATGCCAATATAGTCAACAACTTATATGAAATGGGCAAAGTCTTTGAAGGACACAAATTATGCAAGTTCACTCAACAAAAATTAGAGGGACTTCCCTGGTGGTCCAGTGGCTGAGGCTCTGTGCTCCCAATACAGAGGGCCCGGGGTTCTATCCCTGGTCAGGGAACTAGATCCCACATGCAAAACTAAAGATTCCACATGCCACAACTAAGGCTCAGCACAGCCAAATGATAAATAATATTTTAAAACAGAAGAAGAAATAGATTATTTGAAGGCTTCTAATATCTACTAAAGAAACTGAAAGTGAAAGTGCAAGTCACTCAGTCGTGTCTGACTCTTTGAGACCCCATGGACTATATAGTCCATGGAATTCTCCAGGCCAGAATACTGGAGTGGGTAGCCTTTCCCTTCTCCAGGGGATTTTCCCAACCCAGGGATCGAACCCAGGTCTCCCGCATTGCAGGCAGATTCTTTACCAGCTGAGCCACAAGGAAAGCCCAAGAATACTAGAGGGGGTAGCCTATCCCTTCTCCAGTGGATCTTCCCCACCCAGGAATTGAACTGGGGTCTCCTGCATTGCAGGTGGATTCTTTACCAACTGAGCTATTAGGGAATCCCAAAAGAAACTGAAATGGTACTTAAAATCTACCCACCCCCAAATTTCAAGTACAGATAAATTCTACCAAAAACTTAAGGAAGGCATAATGCCAATCCTTCACAATCCATCCCATGCTCCCACCATTTTCCTGATGTAACAAAATCAGATAAAAATATAGAAAAGGAGATTAGACCAAGATCCCTCATGAACACAGGAAAAAACCTGACAAAATTTTAGCACATGGAATTCAGAAATATATAGAAAGATGAAACATTATGACTAAACAGGGTTTACTCCAGAAATGCAAAGTTGGTTTTAACATCTGAAAAATCAATGTAATCCACCCTATTGACAAGCCATATAAACAAACATAAAATCATCTCTATAGATAAAGACAAACCATTTAGAAAAATTCTAATCCATTTTTTATTTAAAAAAAGCTTTCAGCAAACTAGGAATAGAAGGGAATTTCCTCTTTTTTGGGGGGCCATGCTGTGGGGCATGTGGGATCTTAGCTCCCCAACCAGGGATCAAATGCATGGCCCCTGCAATGGGAAAGAAAGTGAAAGTCGCTCAGTTGTGTCCGATTCTTGTGACCCTATGGACTACATGGTCCATGGAATTCTCCAAGCCAGACTACTGGAGTGGGTAGCCTTTCCCTTCTCCAGGGGATCTTCCCGACTCAGGGACTAAACCCAGGTCTCCCTCATTGCAGGCGAATTCTTTACCGGCTGAGCCACAAGGGAAGCCCAGTCTTAACCAGTCTTATCCCTGCAATGGGAGCACATTCTTAACAATTAGACCGCCAGGGGAGTTCCAGAAGGGAATGTCGTTAGCCTAATAAAAGGCATCTACCAAAACTGAACAAAAAAATCCCAGAAACAAAAAACCAGAAAAACCTACAGCTAACATTAGACTTAGCACCTTCTCGAATTCTAAACTGCCTACCTAGGGAATTTCCTCCATTCCCAGGCATTAACTATCACTTCTATATGCCCAGCATCCCTCAAATACCAGGATGATGAATATCATCTTTATTCTGTAGGACAGTAAGAGCAACCTTTTTTGGACAAAGGTTATTTAGGGGAAAAAAATGCTCAAGGCAAGCATTTTAAAAAATATTGTCTTCTGGATTTCCCCGGTGGTCCAGTGGTTGAGAGTCCGCTGGCCAATGCAGGGGACACACGTTCGATCCCTGGTCTAGGGAGATCTCACATGCCACAGGGCAACTAAGCCTGTGGGACCCAACTACTGAGACTATGCTCTAAAGCCCGGGAGCGACAACTACTGAGCTCCCCAGAACCCGTGCTCCATAACAAAAGAAGCCCTCACACCACAACTAGAGAGTAGCTCCAACTCTCCGCAACTAGAGAAAGCCTGCACACAGCAACAAGGACCCAGTGTAGCCAATAAATACATAAATAAATTTTTTTTAAATGTTATCTTTCTAAAAATTAGCAACTGCAGTAGCTATAGCTTCACTCACTCTCTTTCCTATGTGCCCAATTCTAGAGGATTTCTTTGAAAATGCAGAGGTCACACAGTCAAGAACTGTCACACAGTGGGAGCCCGAGTGGTGCAAGAGAAGGACCTGGAGAATTTCAGGGTTGAAAGTCACCATTAGGAGACTCTTGGGGGGCTGGGGAAGCAGGAAGTGCAGAGAATGCTTTTAGGGAGAGCAGAGGGTGTGGAGTCTGAGTAGGAAACAAAAAAGAAATAGGAGCAGCGGCCATGGGTGTAAAATACCATGTGAATAACGACTTTGCTTTTCTTTCCTAATTTACAACATAGTACGTGTGTGCTGAGTCATGTCTGACTCTGCAGCCCCATGGACTCCAGCCCACCAGGCCTCTCAGTCCATGGGGTTTCTCCAGGCAAGAATACTGGAGTCGGTTGCCATTTCCTACTCCAGGGGATCCTCCCCATCCAGGGAAGTCTCCTAGGGCTCCTTTACTGGCAGACACTTTACCACTGAGCCACGAGGGAAGCCCTACTCAAAACACAGCTGAAGGCATTTTTTTGGAATCACACTTCCCCAAGGGAGGGGGGCAGGCAGTGAGTGGGAGGTTTGGGGGAGGAAACAATGATTCTCAATCCCACAGAGGGTCACATGCTGTGCCCACATCCCCTGCAACAGACAGCTCAGCCTGTGACTCAGGCCCCAAGCAGTGAGGTGGCCACCCCCAAGCACAAGTGGGGGGGAGGGGTTAGAGCTCAGGGACAGAAATGGCGTGCTCATTGTCAGCTATTTTTTGTTGTTGTTCCTGACCTAAGAGCTCAGGCCATAACTCAACAGCAGGCAGACCATACGTGGGGCTGCCGGCCTCCGAGAGCCACCGCAGCGTTTTGTTGAGAGTGGCTGGCTGCCTGCCCCTCATCCCTCTGGCTTTCCAGCCTGGCCACCCATTAGAATTACGCTGTGAGTGTGTGTGCTAAGTCACTTCAGTCACATCTGATTCTTTGCGACCCCATGGATGGTAGCACACCAGGCTTCTCTGTCCATGGGATTCTCCAGGCAAGAATACCAGAGTGATCTCCAGGGGATCTTCCCCACCCAGGGATTGAACGCATGTCTCTTGCAGCTCCTGCACTGCAGAAGAACTAAGTTGGGATCTTACAAAAACTTCAAAGCCCAGGCCTAGAGTCTTGATTCCATGGGTCTGGAGTGGGGCATCAGCATTTGAACTATGTCCCAGGTGGTTCTGATTCTGCCAGTTAACTGTGTCCAGAACAGCATCTCTATCTGCCTGCATATTAGAGTCATCTGGGTTTTTTTTTAATCCCCATGTCCAGGCCAGTTAAAACCAGACTCCAGGGTGGAGCCTGAGTATCAGTGCTAGAGAAGTTTCAGGCGGCTCTAACGCTGCTCCCCGGCCTCCACCAAGCGCCCACTGACATTGGCCTGTCACTCATCCTCTCCCCACAACCCTTCTGCCCGAGCCCACAGCCCCTCAGCTTCCTTAGTGCAAACCTCAACCCTTAGGACCATCAAAGCCCCGCCACTCCTCCAGACCCATTTCAAGCCTCAGCTGTCATTTGGCGGCTTTGTCCTTCTCTGGGAGTTCTCTCAGCTCCCTCACCTGGGAGCATAACCTTCACTTCTGCCCACAGGCTGTCTTAGAGTGTGACCTAATAGCTCCAAGTCTCAGGTAGAGCAGGGGACACGCCCGGCACTTCTGCATTCCTCAAGCAGCCCATGACAAGGTCTATTCATTTCCATTCTAGGTCTCTGCTGGGAGCTTGGCATTGGGAAGGGGCCCAGAAATGAAAAACAACCCACAAGTCTCATGGTCTCTAGAGGATGGGCTGTGAAGCAGGAAGCCATCACTTCCAGGGGACCACAGCAAACTTCCCCTAGGTGCGGAATGTCACAGAATCAGATGTCAGCGTTAGAAGAAGGTTTATTTAATACTTGGGTTTCCTTGTGCCTCAGACAGTAAAGAATCTGCCTGCAGTGCAGGAGACCCAGGTTCGATCCCTGGATCCAGTAGATCCCCTGGAGAAGGAAATGGCTACCCACTCTAGTATTCTCACCTGGAGAATTCCATGGACAGAGAAGCCCAGCGCACTACAGTTCATAGGGTCACAAAGAGTTGGACACGACTGAAAGACTAACATACACACACACACATACTCCAGATCTGCCTCCCAACACATACCCAGACATGAGCACAGCACAGAAATCCCTACATCCCTCATCATTTTC